ATGCTCACAGAAGTGGTTGAGTATGCTCACAAAATAGAGAAAAAAGTGAAGGCTATGAAAAGTGAAATAAAGGAAAATGTACAGGGAACCAACAGTGACGGGAAGGAAACCAGGACTCAAATCAATGGTTTGGAGCAGAAGGAAGAAATAAACATTCAACCAGAACAGAATGAAGAAACAAGAATTCAAAAAAATGAGGAGAGGTTTAGGAACCTCCAGAACAACTTTAAACATTCCAACATCTGAATTGTAGGGGTGCCAGAAGGAGAAGAGGAAGAGCAAGAAATTGAAAACTTATTTGAAAAAGCAATGAAGGAGAACCTACCCAATCTAGCAAAGGAAATAGACTTTTAGGAAGTTCAGGAAGCTCAGAAAGTCTCAAAGAACTTGGACCCAAGGAAGCATACACCAAGGCACATCATAATTACACTACCCAAGATTAAAGATAAGGAGAGAATCTTAAAAGCAGCAAGAGGAAAGGAGACAGTTACCTACAAAGGAGTTCCCATATGGCTATAAACTGATTTCTTAGAAGAAACCTTACAGGCAAGAAGGGTCTGTAAATAAGTATTTGAAGTCATAAAATGAAGGACCTGCATCCAAGATTACTCTATCCAGTGAAGCTTTCATTTAGAATGGAAGGGCAGATGAAGTGCTTCCTAGATAAGGTCAAGTTCAAGGAGTTCATCATCACCAAGCCATTATTATATAAAATGTTAAAGGGGCTTATCTAAGAAAAAGAAGATAAAAATATGAACAATAAAATGACAACAAACTCAGAACTATCAACAATCAAACCTAAGAACAAAAACAAACTAAGGGAACAATAAAACAAGGACAGAATCACAGAAATGGAGAACATATGGTGGGGTTTCAGTGGGGAGGAGGAAGGGCAAATGGGGGAAAAGGTACTGGGAATAAGAAGCATAAATGGTAGGTATAAAATAGACAGGGGGAGTTGCGAATAGTATAGGAAATGGAGAAGCCAAAGAACTTATATGTATGACCCATGGACATGAACTAAGGTGGGGGAATGCTGGTGGGAGTGGGGTACAGGGTGGAGGGGAATAACGGGGAAAATGGGACAACTGTAGTAGCATAATCAATAAAATATACTTAAAAATAAAAGATTTCATATACCTTGGTTTCCTCTAAGACTTCAAAAATTACAAAGCTCCCAAACATATTGGTTATTAAAAATACTAAGTTACAGCAATGAACATTCCTGAAAAAGTTATTGCAACTCATGATTGTACTCTTCCGACGTAGAATACACTGCACTGGAATGTTCTCCTTAGTGAATCCACAGACAGCAACAGTCCATGTAAAAATGAAAGAATTTTAAAATTCCCTCAGAAGACATTCAGAGCTTAGTCAAAGCTTTTTTGTAGCAAGGCTGAATATAAAAATAAATGTATTTTAATGAGACTTACAAACTGACTCTTTAGTCACTAAATACTAGGATCCTCTTTTATGGACCTCCCCCATCTACAACTCTCATGTTTAGCCTGTATGACTTACTCTACCAGAGAGGTAGGTATAAGATCAGGTGTCTACTGTGAATACCTGGTATATTATTGATTGTTAAAGTACTATGAAGTTATTTTGACAGAAGAATATTTTAAAAAGAATGCTGTGTGTCCTGTGTGGGTAGATACAATATCTATCTACTCACTAAAGTATATGCTACCTAGCATAGACACTCAGTATTGTTAAATGAATAGATGAATGAGAATGTTAAAAGGATGCTTTATGGATTATCTGCTGCAAGGAAGGCCACAGTATTCCAGGTCATTGAAGCAATAAAATTGGCCTTGACGTTGGGTGGGAAAGGAGAGGACCTGGGTTCAAACACTAGTTGAGGCACTGACTGACTTACTCACTCACTCTATGAATTTATGCAGGGTAACTTCTCAAGGCCTTTGTGGCCTTTTCTTTCAGAAACTGAAAAAGTTGTGCTAAATGTACTGAGTGATCGCTGGTTTCCCTGAGCTCAAAAATCTTTTGTCTTATGTAAGCTCTTGTATTTCAAGTTGAGAAAAAGTCTATTTGGCCTAACATGTTAGGGTTCTCCCCACAGCTACTCTTAGGAAAGGTTCTCTTCCTTCTTGTCATCTCTCTACAAAATACATGTATTCTCGGTTCAGTTACTTCCAGTACTGTGAACAGAATTATACCAGAAAATAACCTCTGGTTTAGGCTAATTAATAGAATCAATTACAGGTTAAAAAAAAAAGATACACACTATCTGGCACTGTCTAGCTTATGACCCAATTTTTACTTAATATATTTTTATTTCTATATCTATCTGTTTACTCACTCAAGTCTGACCTCACCTTAGGCTGATTTCTTCCTTCCATTTCCCTCCTCCCTGTCCTTCTCATCTCCTCTTCTGTCCTTTCTCATCATCTCTTCTCTCTCCTTTCCTCCCCTGCCTTGCCTTCCCCGCTCCTCCTCTCCTTTCCCCGTTTTTTTATCTCTCTGTCTTCATCTGAAAAATTTGTAATAGTTGTCTTTTTCCAATCAATCTCCAAAATCCAGTTTTTCTATATCTCTAATGATGTCAAATGGTCCAGCCCGTTCCTCCAGGCTGAGCTATATGTCCATGGATTACCTTGAACACCTCTTTGGGTGTATCTACCCAACTGGGCACCTAGCTGTTACAGAATAATAACACTCCTAAATCTGGTCTTTCATAATTCTTTTCTTCCTGCCTACCCCTTTCTCTCGTGTTTCTTACACTCCTGGACTGTTTGGGTGATCCCACAATCTTTGCGCCCAAGTGTAGTCTGAGCTTTTCTATACAGTCATTTTCAACATAGAGCCTGTGTACAGAAGCTTAAGTTCTAATCATTTGGAAAGGTAAAGTGGCAGATGATCTGAGAAATTGAAGTGGGGATGGGAGCATTGAGAGGAGCTCTTCCATTATCCACGTAAAGTTTCTTTCTTTATATCACTCAGAGTCTCAGCTTTTTTATTTTTATGTTTTCCGTCTTTGAGTTTCATCTCTTTTGCTTTACATTCTTAAGATGGAGGGGGAACTCTAAAATTGTAGCTTCTTTGAGTTATCTTGAATTTTCTGCACACCTGCCCACTCTGAGATAATTGGCGTGCCTACTTCCCAAGGAGCAGTATTTGTATTAAAGAGTCACTTGGCGTCAGTGCCCAAGTGCAGATGTCCTGTCATGTATGATGGTGCCTCATTCAGAGAACTCAAGGTAGAGTAAAATAAATTAACATCTTGGCTCCATGCTGCAGTCACAACTGTTCATTTAACAGGGTCAGGCTTCCATCTCTGAGCAGAGAGCTCCTGGCAGAGACAGCAGCTTCCCGGCCCCAGGCTGTGGTGTCAGTGTCCTAGTAGGAGTTGCCAAGAGCAACAGGATAGGGAAGGTGGTAATGCATCAGAAAATTGAGCAGTATGGCATCAATGTGCTGGGAAGAGGGAGCAAGCTGGGCCTCTGCAAAATGCTTTTCATCCATTCCTTCTTTGTATGGATACCCACACAGTTACCTGAAGAAGAAGAAAAACATGTCCTGAATTTTACTGGAAAATTGTCAGTTCTGCTTTTATTCTCACATGTAGTTTATTTTCAAACATACCTTTGTATATCCGTGACATGTTGATGTACCTACATAACAACAGGCTAACATGTTTGTCCAAATTATGTCAAGCAGGCCCACATCATGATTAGCTGGATCTAGGTCACTGGGGCAGAGCTGGTATGATGTACCATTGTCTTAGCTTGCTGTGGCTTACCTCCTAACCTGGAACAAAGGCCATGGTCAGGCCAAGGTAAAGATTGGGGCCAAACACAGGACTTGGTACATAATAAGCACTCTTTTATTATTGATTTTTAGAAAGAAAGTTGCTGCATTGTTCACTGTTGTATGGAATAATGTTCACAAAAGTTATGTATTCTACAGCTGGAAGGAATACATGGAGACCATAAGTAACCACACTGGGGCACCATGGTGAGCAATGGAGCTACCTAGGTAGAATTTGGGTTCTTGCTTACATGTTTCTTTCCATGACTATACCTTCTATCCCTTAACTGCGGTTTAATTTCCTTGTGGAAAAATGTCATTTGCAGCATGCCATGCTGTAAATGTTGTATCAAATGATAAAAATTTGTATTATAGTCTCTTGCTTTTAGTACTAGAATGACTGTATCAATAATAATATAAAACTAATTTTAGGTTTAAATTGCTTTGGGAATAAGATTTTGTGATTTGAAATATATGCTGTTTTATCAAAGCTGGAAATGGTGTTTTTTTTCTCTTTTCTTTAAACTCAAGAATAATGGTCATTTTCTGTCTTCAAATTGTGAGGTTCTAGTGTGTTGATTACTGATGTTGGACCACCCACAAGGGAAATCACAAATCATTCTGTGACCGGCATTCTGAATTGTCATATTCTGAACAAAAAGCCCTGGAACTCCTTTGCAGTTTACACAAAACCCTGGTAGAATTTGTTGTCTAAACCTTTAGCATACTTTTTGTCTTAAATATATTGATTTTCTGACTAGACTTGAAGTCTTAGGGACAAAAAAAAAAAGACTTTTCCGTAATATTTTTTAAATGTGAAGTTTTGCACAGAGTCCCTCTCTGAGAAATCCTGAAAAAGCTATATCTTTCAGAAGTCTTTAATTAAAACCTAGGGTGAATGTGCTGTGAATTGCCAGGGTACATCTGTAGAAAGACTGGTTGAAGTTTGGCAATGCAGAGACATTGAGCAGGGGAAAGAAATGCATATAAAATAATACCAGTGATACCGCAAGGCCAAAAGCATGTGAGTTTTCCATAAAATAATGTGTTCTCTGCCCAATCCTCCACATGGAGAGAGAGGAGGCTTAATTTGAATTTGCACAGTATTGTTGGTGTGTATGCTTGGCACAGTATAAGACATCCACTAAACATTTGTTAACTGTTGTGAGCTGAAGGGAAAAAAAAATCACTCCATCTCTCCTTTCTCCTCCCATTCCCTTCTCTCCTCCAAGGTTGAAAAAAACGATGAGGACCAAAAGATCGAACAAGATGGCATCAAACCAGAAGATAAAGCTCATAAGGCTGCGACCAAAATTCAGGCTAGCTTCCGTGGACACATAACAAGGAAAAAGCTCAAAGGAGAGAAGAAGGGCGATGCCCAAGCTGCTGAGGCTGAGGTGAGTGAGAAGAAGGAAGATGTCCCTGCTGCTGCTGGTGCCGAAAAGAAGGAGGGAGAAGGTTCCACTACCACCGAGGCAGCCCCAGCCACTGGTCCCAAGCCTGAGGAATCTGGCAAAGCAGGAGAAACTCCTTCCGAGGAGAAGAAAGGGGAGGGTGCCTCCGATGCTGGTGCAGAGCAGGCAGCCCCCCAGGCCCCTGCCCCCTCAGAGGAGAAGGCCGGCTCTGCTGAGACAGAAAGTGCCACTAAAGCTTCCACTGACAACTCGCCGTCCTCCAAGGCAGAAGATGCCCCAGCCAAGGAGGAGCCTAAACAAGCCGATGTGCCTGCTGCTGTCACTGCTGCTGCTGCTGCCGCCACCCCTGCTGCAGAGGATGCTGCCACCAAGGCAACAACCCAGCTTCCAACGGAGACTTCGGAGAGCAGCCAAGCCGAGGAGAAGATAGGTGAGCAACGGTGAGGGTCAGAGGACATGAGAGAGCTAGGGGTAGCCCATGGAAGCCTTCTGGAAGGCCAGGCCATGTGGACCATCAAGGGAAAGAGAGAAAGTGTAGATTAGAAGGTGTTTTCAGGAAATTAAGGAAAGCGGTGCTTAATTCCCCAAAGTGGCAGGATAAGAACCAACTCTGGCCACTTACATTCCCAAATGTCTCCAAGCCTGAGAGAGAACTCTGCCAGGAATAGAAAGAGCTGTCAATTATCATATTAATTGGATTGGCATAACAAGTAAAACTAGGTAATCCTAGTTAAAAAAATTCTGTGTGTGGGATAGACTTAGTTTAATTAGTAATTACTGAGGCCACATATATATTCTGAATGAGAGTTAGCCAGTGTGAGGATTTGGCTCTAGGAACTGCCTGTTATTAGTATAGCCAACTTCTTATTGATTCAGATCATCTAGTTTGTGAATCACCAGCAGCAAAAACATAATCTCAGACCACCTTTCCCTTATCCCACGGTGTTACTGGGCATTCTCCTCACCATCAGTTGGTGAGTAGTGTGCATATCTGTGTTTATGCTCAGAGAACACTAATCATACCATTAACTGGGGTTGAACTAATTAGGAAAATAAGTCTGTGATATTGTCAAAAACAAAAGAAAAACCCCAAATATAGAACATATTGTTAAGTTAAACATAAATTATCATTTTATTATAGAAGAAGCTACTTTCTACCACATGCATAAATAGTTGTGGGTTGACTATGATTACTGAGATGTTCTGGATTTTCTTTGGTTTAGAGCTTTTACTTGAAAATTGTAGTGTTTTCACTACTATTACCAAAGAGCCTGTGCAGAACTGAAATAGAGCATTCCCAAAGCAAGATGTAACAGACTTTTACCTCTGGAGACTGGACCCATCCTTCTCCCCATCTACTCCCCAGTGCTGACAGGGGCCAGCAGTCTCCACCACCTTTCTCACTCTTGAACACTTTTCAGTCATAAAGACCTTCTAGGGAAAGTTGCTTCTGTGACAGTTTAAAAATTGGGTTTACTCCTTTAGAACTTCATGAACTTAACACATGTGTCCAAAGACCCAAATTTGGACTGGACCACACTGTGTCTTGGGAAAGGACTTATTCCATGAGATTATTTTTGGGAAATGTTTTGACAGCAGACCGTTAAATTGAAAAAGTAATGTTACTGGAAATTTGCTTTTATTTCTGTTTTTCCAAATTAGATACTGGAGATGAATGATGATTATTCTAAACATTTTCACTTCAACCTCTTTCATCTTATCTCAAAATTCTATAAGAGGCCAGATTATGTTATTATTAGCATTCTCCAGCTCGAGATAAGTCACATACTTCTTTCTATCAGTGACTCATTTTCAGTCTTTATTCTAACTACATACCTGCCTCAGGGGCCAGACTTTGGGGTTAAGAAGATGAGAATGTTTTTCCTGGACAAGGTAAGGCATGTGGCAAAGAATGGGGTGTTGGTTTTAATTCACTCAACAAAACAAACCTTGTTAACTACTTTTCTTTAGGTTAAAAACTTTAGACTCATTTATGATGGCTAGAAATCATTTTGCATATGACAGACTACTTATTGCATATTTTTAAAAATCTTATAAATTAATTATGCTTTTAAAATAATAGAAATTATTTGACATTGTTCAGGCCATATTTTTGAACAGGGATTTCTAAAATTGTGAGCATACACAGAAATCATGATGTGATTTTAGGTATATAATGATGATGTGGATTAATAGAAAGAAGGACTTCTTGAATCAATGAAAAGTATAAAATATAATATATTTTAAGAATGTTTATTTTTATTATTTTTCAAGTTATGATAATCCAAATTAATTAATAGAGTATTTTATGTAGTACATGCTGAATAAATGTCAAATATTGAATGAATAAAAACTGTCTAAATTTAATGTATAGGTAATTTGTTCACTGGCTCACATAATCCTCCTGCAACCTTGCTTATTCTACTTGTTTATTTGATTAAAAATGTGCCTGGTGAGTAAAAACAAATAGAGATCTTGTTCTGTCCTAAATTTTACAAGTTCTGGCTGAAAAATGTCTCATTAGTTTGATTTTATTGTGTGTATTTAAAGGTAATTGAAGGTGTAGGTACAGTTCAGCTTGAAGGTAATCACAAAGGCCAATTTGTTTTACGTTGTTTCTGAACTTTGGCTGAGTAATGTCCTCTGGGTTAGATCCTAAAATGCTGCCTGTAGCTTCTCTCTGGAATGGTGTATCTATTAGCTTTGCCTGGTGTGTGTAATGAGCACAGATTACCCAGATATGGTGAGCTCCATGGAATCACAGAAACTAGAGGTGACATGAAGAGCTATCACAGCATCCCTGGCCCAAATTCTCAGAGGTCCTGGACAGCACTTTCTTCTATCTCCCATTGGGTTTATTTCCAGTCCAGGTTAAAATAATATTTCCAGTTGGGCTCTACTGTTTGGAAACGGATGCCAACCTTGGGTTGCCTGGAGGTGTGCAGAGGGATGATCTGAGAGGGTGGAGTGCGGTTGGGGTCAAAACAAGTAAAAAAGAGAGAATTCAAGACAATAATTTCATCAAAAGGTTTAGACCAAATCTGATCACTGCTTTAATATATATGGAAATGCTTTGTAAATTATAAATATGTTGCTTATTTTACCTTGCTATCTTCCTTCCATTTTTTTCTTCCATTTATATTAACTTTCTACTGTGGTAGGCCTTGGGGTCACAAAGATGAGTGAAGTATGGTTGCTGATCTTACAGAGTTCTCATTTGGAAGTGGGATGGGATGAAATTCAGGGAGTGGTGTTGAAAACATTCACAGTAATAATCTCAACTCAATTAAATTTGCAAACAGGTATAGAGTTTCTCTATGCCAAGGCACTGTGGGAAATAATATGAATGAACTGGTGATTCTTGCAGTTTGATACGTGCTATAAAAAAGCTTTTACATAGTGTGTGTCTCTCTATAGCTAAATTACTAGCCAAAAGAATAGCTGCAAAATTTAGTTTATGGAATGGTAATTATGCGTAAGAAAGTGACATATTCAGCCCATCTCTGTATTTAGGGAAGTCCTTTTTGTTCCCTATAACAATGCTTTGTTAAGGCCCAAAGTAACCACCTATAACATTTTTCTCTCTCCAAAATCTAGATCCCCTTTCACTGAGCTCTGTGATAGATGTGAGGTTTCCCAAGGATATTTATACTTATTTGGCAGAGTGCCGCATAGGCAGTTATGATTTGAAATGTGGTTTCAACCACTTCCCAAATTTATATACTACTCATAAAGAGTGAAATTTGGATTTTTAAAGTCCATAAATGCTGTCTATAAAACATGGACACCTGTCAGGGACTCAGTGGCAGGCTGCTTAAATACTGTTGATTATTAAGCTCTTATGGTACACTTTTATGTTACTAGAGTAATCATTTTTATTGGCTTTTCTTGACAACAATCCAGTGGCATTTGACAGTACTTTTCTTGTACTCTTACATTCTGAGATTGTGGGCAAATGAAATAGGTTTTGTGCCCACAAGCATATTCAAACACAACAGGGGTCAAACTGATGGGCCTCTAAGTCTTCTCCTTAACTTCAGCCCTGCAGTTCTTTACCTCTCTTTTAAAGTGCTCTGTTTTATCTCAGTTCTTGCATTTTTTCTTTATTTTATCAGTTGTGACACTTTTCAATTATCATTGGAAAATACCACCCAGGACTTGTCCTGGGTATTCTCTGTCCTGCATGCCCAGTAAGATAATGCAGAGGAAAGAACCTTGGACTAGAATAAAGACACCAGGGCTCTAGTCCTTAATATTTCTACCATACGGCTGTGGGATCTTAAGCAAGCCACTGCTTCTCTCTGGTCCCCAGTTGTTTCATCTTCAAGAAGAGGGGCTAGGATAGTTGATTTTTAAGTTTTTTTTCAAGGGTTAAAATAAAAATTTTCTATATGTGATGGCACTTAATGAACATTTATTAACTGGCAAGCTCTGTGCTAAGAGCTATGTGGAGATGATCTCATTTAACCATCATAACCACTCTATGGTATAAGAACTACAATTTCCCCTTCCCCTTTTACAGATGAGGGATCTGAGACTTGGAGAGATGGTGGTTCCTAATTGCCGTCAACAGCTAGCAAACAGTGGGAACAGAAGCTGAACGCTGACTGCCTGATTACAGAGGCCACATTTTAAACACTGACACTACAAGTGCTATTCTGGAAGAAACAAAGACAAGAGAGATGTCTAAGAACCCCAACATTGTGTTCTAATCTAAGAACATCCCTTGCTTGTATAACTGGATACTAAAGACTCATTTACAGATGGGAGTCCAGTAACTACCCATAGCTCCTGGCCATAAAGCCCTCAAAGCCCCATCACCTCGAAATGATTGGGAATATTAAACAAGTTCTGCGTCATGGGTTCTTAGCTTGAAAATACTTCAAGTACCATTTCATTAGGCCTAAGAGAGCTGTAAAGATCAACTGAAATAGATATTTCTTAATTAGAGTACTACGGGCTCCATTAAATATGTGGGGAGAACTAAAAATTAGAAACTGCAAGTTTCAGATCTCAATCAAAGGAAAGTAATTTCTTGATTCTAGGTGATCCCTACCCTAATTTGGATTATAAAAATTAGTGTCTTAAAATTCTTGTTCATATCCCACCAACCTTTTGCAAGGTGCATTTCCAAAGGACCCTGATATCTTTCTATTTATAACTAAAATGATAAAAAGAACTTATTGGACAGATGGCAGAGCAATCACTATCTCTGCCATTAAAAAATCATAAGCATACAAAAATAAGTTGTGTTTTAGAATCAAGAAACTCATTGTGAAGCCTTTGATGTTTCTTTCATAGCTCATAATAAATAACTACTATCATCTAATAAAGAAACAAGTAAACAGAAAGACATGTAAGTAACTTCTCCAATTTCAAAGCCGTAGAACTATATTTGGAACTGAAAATCAAACAATATTTCTTAAAAAT